TTTACGTGACACATTACTGTGTATTACTGTATCCAAGTAGCGATAATTACGATTGTGTTTTTGCTTGTTCAGCGTTAATACAACATTCTAACTTTACATGCAACACTGAGCTGGGTATTTTGTTATCGAACCCGAGTCCCCACGACCGCATTTAGCCCACTGCCCCGAAATATTACTTGTATCCTACCGTTACTGTGTGTGTAGCTTACACATAATTAATTAGGTTGAAACTGTCCGCTAACGAAGGTAAGAAACATAGTTAGAACAATGGGGACGAGACAAAAAGTGGTATAACAGCCGTCATTCACAGTAAAAGATACTATTTACAAAAAGAAAGTACGAACACTTTACCTAAAACATTTTTGAGTTTCCCCTTCAATCATTTAGGTTTCACACCACAATTGCAGTTTATACAAAGTCATATTGGAGGCAAGTACCTACATTGTACAAATGTAACTGTCTCTACTTTGAAAACAACTTTTTGCAAGGGATAGTAGGTTTGTATTTTAATTTAAATACTTTAATATGATATCAGAATTACTGAGCCTTAGGTTTATGAGCAGAAATTTAGGAGGAAAACAAACTTTTATGTGTTTTTTTTTAAATTTGGCTTTACTACATGTGAAGATCTGCTTTCAAATTTTACTTAATTATAATCAATCTATTAATTGTAGTACGAGACGTATATAATTTAATACTCCTCTGTGAAATACTAACTATATAATTGAACTGGTTCTTTCACTCCCCTCGATAAAAAGCCACATTTTTATCTGTTTCATGAACTTTGACCTCATACAGCAGCCCCTCTGGCAAACAGTTCTTCAGTTGATCCCATATAAAGATAGCAATGTTTTCAGCAGTACTCGGGGTATTCTTGAAATGGGCGACATCGAGGTCAAGGTGCTTGTGGTCCATTTCATCTAGCACATGTTTCTGCAAAAAAAAGCTAGAATCAAGAATAGTGCAGAGTGTGTAAATGTATTATAAAAATAAGCAGCCATTTCCACGCTGATTGCCAAAGGGTGCAGCTCTGCAGCTGCCCAGGAGCGGCACCTGGTCGACAATCCGGGCTGCAGATGTACAATTTTGCATGAGTAAATTTTACACACATTGTATACATATACATACATACATGTATATAGAAGTGCAGAGTATAAAATAAATTACCCATAAAACAAATGGCCACCAGTCTGCCATATAACAAAATGAAATGATAAAAAATATAAATTAGATAGACCTATTTTCTTTTTTTAATATTATTCTGACCAGTTACTTGTTCGTGTAGGCCCAGTTTGTGTAAATGTATTATAACAATAAGAAGCAATTTCCGCGCTGATTGGCAAAGGGAGCAGCTCTGCAGCTACCCAGGAGTGGCACTGCTGAATCAAAGAAAGCTTAGAAAAAACTCCTGTATGCTGAGAGTATTGGAGATGCATTAAAAATTACAAAACAAGATGTCTGCCTTAACTGTACATATTGTTGTATGCACTTCTGCTGCCCTGATCATAAAAGCTTTTCTTGCTCTGCTCCTGATCCAATTTTCAGGGTGACAGCAGTGCAAGGATAGGTGCTCCCAGTGACCCTGGGCCATAGAAGAACCACAGCCTTGTCGCTCCAGAGCCGGCCGGGAAATAGGAGCCACCTATATATATATATATATATAGAATGTATCAATACTGAATGTGATTTGGCTCTTTAAATTCACAAAAAAAACAACAACCAGGCAGTTGACAATAAGCACCAATACAAAATTTGTATCATGCAACAAGCACACATTACTGTCAAAAATCAGTCAATATACAAATTGCAAACCCTTATTTGGTTCACATTACCTTTGTAAATATGAAACAATTCTGTCCTTTACCTTAATGTACTTCTTTAAATCACTTATATTCATTACCATACCCGTGACAGGATCCACCTTTCAAGATATACAAATAATCTTCAATGAGTTAAGTGATGTTTGATATTGGATTTATTAAACTTGTATGTACCAATGCTTGGAACATAAGAAACTTAATGTAAAAATTACTTTGTTCACACAAGAGCATTATATCAAGGCGTATCGGCTCCTGCCAGCAAAATGATGAGATTATAAACACATTCTGATACACAACATGGCCTTGAACTTAAAAAGGCATTTATTTGAAATCATGCCTTGTATCATCACTTTCAATACAATAACATTTCTCAGCAGTCAATTTCAATTTTTTTTTTTACACGATTCCTTACCCGTTGAAAATAATGATTTGACATGATGAAAAAATATTGTGACCAATTAAAAATGGTACAGTTCCAGCTCAAATCTAAACAAACGGGGCCGAAATTTTGCTCTTCTTTGGCCACAATCGTATAAATCTACTAGAGATAATTGGTGGGAAGGGCATTAGTTCAACTCTGCTAAAATGCTGCTGCATAAACGTAGTAATTACTTTACCTCTCCTTTGACGATTACTTCAACTGAAACATAAACAAATAGAATGGTGTTAGTTATCTTATTGACCATTTAGTGAAGAAACTTGAGGGAAAGAACAAGTATATGCAGATTTTTTTTTTATCTAGTGATCAACCACCTCGAAGTCAACAATCTGATTCTATCAACCTTGCCTAATATTTCTTACTATTGACATTGAAATAAAATTAGTTAACGCCTTTAGTTTTCCACTTTTTCTGTTTGAAATAAGCTCTATCAACAGCTTTAATTCTACAATCTGGTAACTACCACCATAATCCAAGTGTTGCCAATTAAAGATTATGATAACATGAGAGAATGCAGTTAAATGTAGACATGGTTAATTAAGGACGTTAGGCATAGAAATGATTTAGGCAGAGGGTTCTCCGAACCTGCCTATTCACATAGTTCATACCCACCATAGACTCCGGTCAGTCAAAATGACTATTTTGAACTGTAGGCATTAATCAGCGATTCTGCCTGTGACGGAGAGATAGAATCTAGGTCAGGGGAAGCCCCATGACCCCAAGATTCTCTTTCCCTTACGTCTTGAACCACGTGACCGAGCCCATATGGCGGCGCCATTAGGGCTTTATATCCACTCTGATTCCTTTCTCCTCGCATCGTGTCCTGAGATTTGGTTCTAGGCGAGAAACCCGATTCGTGTCTTTAGCACAACTTGATTGTCCATAACAGCAGAACAGCATCCGAGAAGGACAATGTCCCCAGCTCTGACCGACGCCTACTTGAGGCGAGGGCCAGTAGGAAGACTATTTTCCATGTCAAAAATTTGAGTGGTGCTGATCAGAGAGGCTCAAAGGGCGGTCTGCTTAGAGCAGACAACACAGCCAACAAGTCTCAGTTGGGCGGTTTCCTTGTATGGGGTCTCAGCGTCTGGAAAGCAGTAAATAGTCTCCTAATAATAGGACAATCGGCTAGTCTTGTTCCCATACATTCTCAATGGTGGGGGACAAGGCTGACCTGTAGCCAACGATAGCTGCGTAGGACAAACTAACTTCGTCAGGAGCCTGCTACCTGGCTAATAGAGGGATGGTATGGATCAATCTCCCTTCTGCTACACCAAGCAGTGTATGCTCGCAGCCTAGAAATGTAGGCGGCATTGGTGGAATCCCAGTTCGCCTTGGCCAGGACGTTGGCAGCCCGCTCAGATAAAGCTTTCGTATGTGCGGGTCTAATGATAGCCTCTATTCGTGTAAGTGATACCCGCTGGGCTTGTTGGTAGTGCGCCGTCTGGTTGGGACAGCAGGTCCGGTAAGTCGGGAAGCACTACTGGTGTTTAGACTAGCATTTTCGACAGAAGTGGAAACTAGGCCTTGTTTGGCCAATTGGGTGCGACCAATGATAATATGCAGGTGTGCACCTGTCGAAGTTTTCTCCAGTGCCCGGTGAGCTAGAGGGAAGGAAGGAAAGGCGTACACAACTAAGTGGGTTCACAGGGTTAGCAAGGCGACCCTGGCCCGGGCTCCTGGAGTCGACAGGAGTGTTACGTACGTCGGAAGCTTGGCGTTTCGGGGTGCGGCAAACCAGTCTAACCTTGGACCGTCCCACAGCCGAAACAGCCTGGAGGCTTGTATCAGCCACCTCGTGTTCTGGAGATGGAGCCACCTTGAATGGGCGTCTGCCAGACTGTTCCTCACCCCTGGAAGGTGGTATGCGTTTAGCTCCACATTGTTTTCCAGGCACCAAAGGAGGATTTGCTCCGCTAGGACTGACAACGATGAGGAACGCGTCCCCTCCTTCTTGAAGGAGACCACCGCTGCGTTGCCTGTGCGAAGCAGGACTCTGTGGTCTCGAACCACGGGTAGAAAGCGTGGTAGTGCTAAGTATACTGCTTTCAGTTCGAGCCGGTTGATATGGTAGTCTCGAAACTAATGCGGGGGCCATAGCCTTGGACTTGTTCGTCCAATAGATGCGCTCCCCAACCTTGGGAGGAGGCATCAGTTACCAGAGTCATACCTGCGGCGAGCGGGTCCAAGGGGGCCCCTGTCCGAGATTGGCCAGTGACGGCCACCAGGGCAGGGCTTCCTTCACTTGGTCCCAGATCAAAACTTGCCTATCTAGTTTCCATAGGAGAACTTAGCATTATAACAAGCGTTATACTGGGCGGCTGCGTAGTGCGGCCTTGGGAACGACCCTTCAAACCGCGGTCATCATTCCGATGATCCGCATTAGTTCTCGGAGGGACACTGAGGAAACGCTGACTAGTCATTCGGCTAGGCTGCTTAGCGCTAAGCAACATGCTTGAAATAGCTAAACCAAGCTTACCTCTGTGTCAAAACTCCATGCCCAGGGACACCAACTGCGCGTTGGGTTGAGGTGGGACTTGTCAATTTACTGACGAGCCCAACTGGTAAATCCTGTGTTAGCCTGACGTGTTTGGCTATTAATCCCTTGTCCGGGTTGTGTAGTAACCAGTAGTCTGGGTATGGATCGTGGTGTACCGACATTTGGTGAAGCAGCAGCACTACCTGTTTCATCACTCTGGTGAACACGTAGGGCGCTGTGCACCTGAAATTCGAATACTTTGCCCAGCTTGGTGATTCGAAGGAGATGGCAACTCGCTGGGTGCATCGGTATGTGCAGGTAGACCCCGCTTAAGTCTAGTGGGGCTAGCTAGTCAAAACGTTGGATGGAGAGAAGAACCCTGAATGGTGTCTCCATGTGGAACCGATCAAGAAGCACGTACTGATTCAGTCTGCCTAGGTCCAGAACTGGACGTCCACCACTTGTAGATTGGTACTACGAACACATTCGGGTAGAAGCCTGGAGTTGGTTCCGGCTGATGTACCCTGTGTATGGCGCCTTTTCCCTGCAAATTGCTACTTCCTGTCTGGTTGCTTCGCCTTGCGGGAGTCCCCTGGCAGTGCCCAACAGGGGAGACACTGACAGGGGAGATGGAGATTTCAGCAGTATCCCATAACAGGATGTCACCACCTGGAAAGGTCCAGGGATCGGTAACCCGCTGTCTCCAAACCGGACTACACCAGTGCAATCTGTGTACGACAGGGATATGTGGCCATGGGTTCGGCAGTTGCGAGGGCGGTGCTCTCTTCTCCTCTGAGGTGAGTTCCCCAAGGCCTGAAGTAGTCACTAAGTTGTGACCTGGCCAATCGCCGAATGCATGCCTGTCCCCCCGGTTGGTACGAGCGCTTGCCTCCTGGCTGACTCTGGCTAGCGGACGACACCCTAGGGTGTGTGCTTGGGGTGCCCTCCGCTTGCCCTTGGCAGGGTCAACTGGCTAGCGGATTCGATCTGAACCCTCTGGTTCATTGCACTCCGAAGCTCCGCGACTGTACCCACCATTCCCTGAACAAATAGAGTGGAAGATGTCCAGTCTGCATCACTGCGGTGGGGACGTACCCCTTAACTCAGCTTGTCGGCGAAAACATGTGCGTCTAAGGCCGCGTCTCGTAACCCAGTAGTGGCCCCGGCCTGGTCTAGGAGAGGCTGGTGAGTTCTGCCTCTGAGGTCTACAGAGTCCGGGGCGTGCACAATAATGCGCTCAAGCAACTCTGCCCTCAGGGCTGGATAGGTCGTCTCCGATTGAGCTGGCGAGAATGCCCATGGAACGCGGCTGTCCCCCTTTTCCCGGTTTGCCAAACGGAAATTCATGGTACCGGGGTCTGGGGAAGGAGCCTTGGGATGCGGTTGGGGGTGTTTTGGTCTTATCCCACGCTATGGGGTCTGATCCCGAAACAACACCAACCGGGTAGCGTTTGGTCCAGCGAGAAGTGTTGCCTAAGGTTTTCCCCACCCGGGGGCTCTAAGCGTCACGTCCTCCGCCACTAACCAACATCTGCCCATCAACACCGTTTGCGTGCCCTGCGCTCCACTCCACACTTGGATGGACAGGGGGAGACATGCTGACAGGGTTGCTTTGGATCCTGACGCCCATGATCCCATAAGTGTTGAAGCAACTTTAGGTGGTCGCCTTAGGATCAAGGGTGGGGATATTTACATCGTATCACTGGGATCGTGGATACTCCGCATCACCCCAAAGCGAACTATGTCTCCTTTCACTTTAAATATGTGAGAGGGAGCGTGTTTGACTGTGCGTCTCATGACAGGGTCAGTTCCCTCTGGGGACGCCCGTGGGTCGGTAAGAAGGGAGTCAAAACCCACAGCGGAGACTGGACACAAGAATAAATTTGTTACCGTTGTACCGTTACCGCGTGACGAACCCTTGCTGGCTGAAACTAGGGGGGGTCAACGTGTGTCCTGCCCTGAAAGCCCTGCCCCGAGATCGGAGGCTTGGCTGCCAGCACCCCGTTGGCATTCAGTGCCCGAGGCTCCAGAGGAGGCCTGGTGCAATTAGCCTGAGCCTCGGCCTCACCCAAATTTGTGGGAGAGCAGTGGTGACAGCTCGCTCCGACTGCATCTGATCTACCCGCCCTGCCAGGGATGCAATTGCCCCGACAGTCCTTCGACCAAAGCCCTCAACTCGGAGGCAAACCCGGCGCTGTGCGAGGAAGGGTCCACAAAGGGGCCTGCAACAAGCCCCATAGGAGGAAAGCCTCCAGGGGAACAGCCACGCTGCAGCCGGTAAAATCGGATAAACCACCACCTGAAAAAAACAGACTGTGAGGATGCCCTCCGATCAGCGAGGGGAGACCAAGAGAAAATATCGGTACCTCCACCATCGGGCCTCCTACTCGATGTCCCGGTACACGAAGCACCGGTAGTCGAGCGTTAGGACTTTCCACTAATGCTAAACATGCAACTCACTTTAACCGATTTGTTTACTGGACGCACGACCTTGCTGTGAAGAAACGAGTGACACGGTCAGTCTCAGCGATTTTGATGGCTCTGAAAAAAAAATCTCAGGCCTCACAACTCCAGCGAAAACACACGCCTTCATGGCAAAAACCCAGAACCCCGCACGTAGCTACGACAAAAGTATTTGGATGCAGGTTCTATGCTTGTAAATTCTGAATATAACCACTGCACAGTCGACTCGAAACACAAGGAGACCAACAACAACAAAAACGGCAGCGAGCCCTGGTGCTGTCATTACTTCTATTCATTTCTAAATACATAGATCGAGCATAAAATGAAGACGACATGCATGAGGGAAGCAAATAACAGGGGAAACGGAGACGTAACGAAACCAACATGTGATTATAAAGCTACGTCGCCCGGGTTTTATTTCTTTGAAAAATACTACACACAAAGGGGAAAACAACACGAGGGTAAAAATGACAAAGAAAACTTATCCTACCAGCTACAATGTCGGATGCCGTGCAGCGGCAACAACCCAAGCTAGAAACCCGAACAGGAAAAAAAGCAAGTGATCCAGGCAGAGCGGCTAAAACTTCATCCTGTCGATGCGGAGATAAAGAAAGAGTGGATATCCAGCCCTGATGGCACCGCCATATAGGCTTGGTCACGTGGTTTGTGACGTAAGGGAAAGAAAATCTTGGGGTCATGGGGCTTCCTTGACCTAGATTCTATCGCTCTGTCACGGCAGAATCTTAATGCTTGCAGTTCAAAATAGTCATTTTGACTAACCGGAGTCTATGGTGGGTAATTGAACGTAGTGAATTTTATATTATCACTCAATCTGTGGGCCCACTCACTTTCAATATATGGCTCTCAGTTTATCACATTGTAACTACACTTGACGAACTACTGTGAAATACTTTATTTTTGCTGGAATTTATTTTCACTGATTTTTAATGAGTTTAATGTGAAATATAGGAAAAAAAGTATATTCACTGGATTTTATTTTCACGAATTCATCCCTTCAGTGAAAATAGCGAAAATAAATTATTCTACAGTATATTAAAATCAGGTTTGACTGTACACCTACACCAGATAGTTCAAGACTTGAATTGTTATCAACACCTTTATAGTTATGTCCATGTCCATTTGGATTATTGCAAAGACCATACAGTTCACGGTTTTCTTCGTCATTCAGATATTCACTGGAAATAAAAATAAAAAATATTGACTAAACATAATTAAAATTTGACCAATATTGATGTTTATAACTATAACTAAAATTATAATGAGTTCAGTGATTATGTGATGTTTGAAATTTCTCAAAATTGTGTTCCAGACACAAGGACAGGTAATTTTCAAATTTAATTTTACCAGCCTGACTTAAAAATTACTGCAATATACATGTACTTGTGTTCCAATTTCAAGTAATCATCACAAAACTCAACATTCAGCCGACAAACACAATGAATAATTTAATTTTTCCATTTTAAATTGTTGCATTAATTTTATTTCATGATCTTTGTTCCAGCAACTAAAGGAGAATGGCGTTAACTTTATTCGGTATTATTTAGTAAAATTGAATTTTCAAAATTGTTATTGAAGCAGACCATGCATAAAACTGACATCTGACAGAGCAAATTTTAATTTTTACCAGCCAGACCAAGGCATAAGTGTTTGGGTTAGTATACTAGAGATAAAAAATAATACACAAATACTATCCTTCTTGATTAAAATAAGTTATTAATAACATTGCAGTCAGAGATGCATTACATGCATTTCTGTGGTGACGTAATGTTTTGATTCAAACTGGTGTTGGTTTTGCATTTTGCTCAGAGTTTTAGAATACGCATGTCTAGCCAATACAAAACATAGCCGTGCACTATTTGAAAATGTTTGAATATGGGACACTTTCAACCCGCTCTTCGTTATAAATAGATGGGGTATTACACGTCTCAAGCTGACCAATTGGAGTTCGCCATATAAAACATGTGACCAGCAGTTTTTTTGTCCAATGCTCAAACCATTGTTTACATGTACCATGCAATTCTTTGCATTGTAGTGCATGATTGCACTTTATAAAATAAGGTACATACTTTGTTAAATTATTTAAAAGCAAAATCTACTCATTTTGGCTCAATATCAAATTTTTGCTGTAAAACCCAGAAACTTTATTAATCGCTGCTGTGCAATCACTCTTTAGGAAGCATCAATGTTGTTAGTTCTGAGTACTGCAGTAAATGATGCTCCATGGGTAACTCAAATGTTTGTTTTAATGTTTGTACTGCCGACGCCAGGGTCTGACCCCCTGGTAAATAAGCTCAATTAATCAAAGTTTTCAGTATTTTCATGGAAAATTTGGTTTATTCCTGAATGCCATAAAGATTTCTCAAAACCAGCACATGAGAATTATATTACCATTTTACACTAAAATAATGAGAATTAGATTATTTGGTATTCAATTGACCGCTACGAATACCATACATAATGTTCCTTGTACGCAGTGTGTCATATCCCATATATTTTATAGACATTTAGCAGAATTTCTCCCTTATAGCGGAACACAAAGGTGCAGTTTGTGAAGTGCAATCATACTTCATTGGTGAGAGTACTGTAAAATATTTCATAAGTAATAAATCGGTGATGAAATTAAGTACTGTAAAATAGCTGGAATTAATTCTCGCTGAAAAGACTTTTTCTGCGTTTTGTATGGAATTTATTTTGACTGACTTTTGACGAGTTGAATGTAAAATATAGGAAGAGGCCCGAGCATG